TCCTGGTTATTTCGTTTTATTAGCTCTACACGTGTTTACTTGGTCAGGTCAACTCAGGTTCAAAGGATCACGCAGGGATCATTGTGAATCAATGATTCTCTTTTTTCTTTGTTCCACCTTTTTCCTAACATTTTATTTGTTATCCTTATTTCCTTTTCTTTTCTTTTTGCTCTTCTGTTCCTCTTTTTTTTTTTTTCTTTCCTTTTTCCTTCTTCCTCAAGTTATATCATAATTAGTAATTCATAGTAATTTCATAATTAATAATTAATAATCAAGTTTTTCTCGATATATTAATTAAATTTTCTTTTATTTCCCCTTTTATTTCGAATGAATTTTTCGAATATTTCTTTTCTTTTTCTTCTTTTTCTTCTTTTGCTTCTTCTTGCCAAAAAAACAAATTGACATAATAGAATTCGAAAAAAATTATATTTGCTAAATCGATTCGAAATTATTTGTATTAATCGAATCGACTCATTTATCGATTCGATCATTATTTCCTTATCTTTATTTTCCGATCTTATCTTTAAACAGATGATACGACGTTAGAGGCTTTCACGAAAAAAGAAAAAAAAAAAAAGAAAAAAAAAGAAGAAAAAAATTCGTTCGATTTATTCTTCCTCTTTAGAATGAATTCCGAAGATAAACCCCTACCACTTTTCTCATACTTCGCGTTCACTTTGAATCACGATTATAAAAGGAACCGTTCGTGAACGATTTTGCGACGTTACATTACGATTTTCTTTTCTTTTTTCTTTTTTTTTTTTTTTTTCTTTTGAATCCATTGTCATTTAAATTATCATTCTCCTTTAAAAATAATAGATAATTTATAATTATTATTAATATCTATAAAAAGATAATTATAAAAGATAGACAATCTATATGTTACAATTATTATTTATATCTATAAATAGATAATTATAGATATAGATAATTTATATATATATATATATATATATATATATTATAATAATTAATTATTAATAATTTATCAATTTTATTTATTAATTATTTATTGATATAATTTATATTTATACGTTTATATCGGCAAAGATTTTCTATCCCCCACTTCACCCCCTTAAGATATTTTTCTTTTTCTTTTTTTCTTTTCCCTCCTTTTTTTCTTGCTTTTCTCTTTTCTCTCTTTTCCCGCCAAATATTTCAGATCGATTTAATCTATTTCGATTTGTTTGTTATTTCTCTTTTTTTTCTCTGGGTTTTTTTTTCCTTCTTTTTCTTTTTTTTTTTTTCTTTTCTTTTCTTTTCGTCCAATGTCCAATAGAAAGAAATACGTTTGGGAACGATTATTTTCCATTTGTTCATTTTTTTTTTTTTTTAAACGAACGACTTGTTTATGGTCACGCATAGCACACGCTGGCACGTGCTTCGGGTCTGCATTAGCATTGTTGACAACGTTTTTACAAGTGTCACCGTTCAAAAGAAAAATAAAATGGTTTCGTAAGAGAATATATTATATTATAACACGAGGCTAAGTTTTTCTACTAGAGTAATAGTTTATTCGCAGGGGGACATTTTCTAATACGATTGTTTTCTTATCTTAATTTTTTTCTTTTTTGTTTTTCCATTCTTTTCTTCTTCTTCTTCTTCTTCTTCTTCTTCTTTTCTATCTTCCTTTAATCGTCATTCCACGAAAATTCCTTTCTCCTCTTTAGAATTCCTATTTCCCGATTGAAACAGATCCGAACACCGGGCAAACTAAACAGAATTCACATTCCATTTTCAATCTTTCATTCTTAAAGTACTTTAAGCACGTTCGAAAGCTCTCGTGCTCAGGGAGAACGAATTCAAAGTTAAGAAACTTCAATAAAAGCAAAAACCTATTTCATACGACCTTACCTTACGTAGCACGAATATTTCTTCTCTTAATATACAGTTAAATCGTCGTCGTCGTTGTCGTTGTCGTCGTCGTCGTAAAAATGTTAAAAAAAAAAAAAGAAAAAAAAAAAGGAAAAGAAAAAAAAATCGGAAAATAAAAAAAGAAAAATCGAACGTAACGGGAGGGAACTTGATAAAATCATGAAAATAAATGAATACGATGTGTAATAATTTTTATCCGTTGAAAAAAAAAAGAAAAGAAAAGAATCGTGAAAAAATAACTTTTAATTCTCCGATCTAATTATTTTAGATTATTTTTCCTGGATCGAGATAGATGGAGAGGAAAAAAAAAAAGAGAGAAAAAAGAAAACAGAAATGACAGTATCCTTTAATTTGCAAGAAAAAATAAAAAAAAAAAGAAACAATTGGAGGATAATATTCTTTTATTTTTTCTTTTCTTCTTCTTTTTTTTTTTTTAATAATTAATTCTTATATAAGGCTTATATAATAGGCTCATAAAAAATGCATTCGCTTATAAATCCGAGAATCGAATGGTCCCGTTAAATCCGACAAAATTTATCAAATGCGTGTACGCGCCGCGCGTATGAATGCACAAATGCAACAATATATGTAGTAAAATATTTTTTCCGAACTCTTTCGTGTATAT